TTTTGGCATTTTGTTTTTCATTCTTTATAAAACTTTAAAAAATCAAAAATTTTGTGATTCGAAATTTAAGAGATTTCAGCCACTGTGCACACAACGAATTTGAGATTCATTACCAATGCATCTTTTTGATACATTTCTATTGGTTATTACCACTGTTTTCGTGGTCCAAGTAAGTTTCTTAATGGATTGTTTTTTAAATTAAACGGTGTGATTTAGGGCATTTTACAAATTATGCGCAACCTTTCAGGCTTGCAATCCTTTGAGAGGACCACCAGGACGAGATGGACGGGATGGAAGTGTGGGAGATCGAGGAGAGCCGGGAGATGAGGGACCAGTTGGAGACGAAGGTCCACCCGGATTGCCTGGAATTGAAGGTCCACCAGGAGATGAGGGAGATGTGGGATTGCCTGGAGAAGTCGGTGATCCAGGACTGCGAGGTATAAGGGGTCAAAGGGGAGCAGCAGCAGGATAAAAGTAGCAGGAAATGGAATTTGTCTGAGATATTGATCTTATATTGGTTGTTTCTATTTTCACCAACCTATCGTTCTCTTTCCATTATGTTATGAAATTCATAAATCTGAAATTCGTTATCGGTACCTTTATGGAGCTTGCTTACAAATGTTAGAGGCTAAAATTTAAAATTAATGAAGTGCTTCAATTTTTATTATCATATAATAAAAAACTTTTGGAAAATTGACCAATTTTAAAATTAAACGACAAATAAAATATTTCTTCTGCATTTTATGTACAATGCTCTTACCGTCAGGCAAATATTTCAGAATATTAAAAGTTAATAATTACGACGTTTTCAACATATTTTTCTTAATATTTAGTAATGTGAAAAGTTTTAAAAGCCTTATTGTTTCTTATAAAAAATAAATGATTTGCTAAATTAATTGATTTAATTTGACCAATTAAAGATATATTTTTGTTAGTCAATATACAGCAGTGTTGATGGCTTAAGATGAACGGAAAGAAGATTCGGTTGACTGATAGATTAACGGTTGATGGATTAAGCCGGGAGATAGAAGAAAGAACAGGTTTTGAATTTTCGAGAAACAGTAGTAAGACAATTTGAGTGATGTCTGCTATCTGCAAGTTGATTATTCCATAAAAACGCTTCAGAAAATTTTAATTAAAGTTAATGACCTTATTTTTTTTCACACTTAGTCAATATGAAAGCGTTATCATTCTTGTGACAAAGTGAGATCTGTCATCAATTGGCAATTATTCAATTATTCAGCGTAACATAAATTTGCTATCGATGCGATCAAAATTGGAATAATTGCACTAATAACTGTAATTGCAGATAATTGAATCTTTGAAGTTGTCATAGTTTTAACAAATTCGTTTCTTATCACTCAGTCGTCCGACTTCATTTTCAGTTATTTCCCTTTCGTTTATTTAATTAACACTTCCATCCTTCTTTATTCAACAATTGTCCTTCACTTCAAATCCTATGGTCTCAATTACCTTCAACAAACTCCTTTACATAAATAAGCCTTAAGGCTAAAATCATCGGTAGTCATTCATTTAAGATTCTTAACATCGCAAAAATTTCTTTCATAAATTTCGACGTCCTGAACAATTCGAGAGATTCTTAAAACTTAAGCAAAGTAAACATGCAAATAATGAGCACTAGTCAGGTTCTAAATAGTTTCTGTTTCTGAAGGTTCAAGACTCGCTTTTTCATTGATCCTTCCGGTTTCTCTAACAACTATTAATGTTCTATCAATCAATTATATTTTCCATTCACTTTAAATCACACAAAAAAGGTCGTTTAACTTTCATAGATACCGCCAGTAATCGTATTTTGCTATATTCTGTATAACTACTCCACAATGAATTCTTGATTTCTTTGTTTTGTGAATTCCGAAAAGATTCATATCGGGCATCAAACTTTTTAATATAAATATAATATTTCTCTTTGAAATTCGCTTCATCAAATTTCATTTAAGTCATATATCACTCTAAATTATAATTTTTCAATTAGAATTTCTATTCTTTACAATCGATTGCGATTCGTTTCTAATATTTCCGAAAATATCATAACTTATCAGACTGAATTTTTTAATTTTCATTCAAGAGCGATTTGCTTGGAAAATTTAGAACCATAAATAAGAAAAAGATTCCGTCCATCTAAAATTTCTATTAAAGATTAATCTTCTGAGAGATCTTAGATATCACTTTTGGCATTTTGTTTTTCATTCTTTATAAAACTTTAAAAAATCAAAAATTTTGTGATTCGAAATTTAAGAGATTTCAGCCACTGTGCACACAACGAATTTGAGATTCATTACCAATGCATCTTTTTCATACATTTCTATTGGTTGTTAACGCTGTTTTCGTGGTCCAAGTAAGTTCTCTAATAAACTTTTTTTAATTTCACTGTGTGATTTGAGGCATTTTTGCAAATTATGCGCAAATATTATTTTTAGGCTTGCAACCCTTTAAGAGGACCACCAGGACGGGATGGACGGGATGGAAATGTGGGAGAGCGAGGAGTGCCGGGAGATGAAGGACCAGTTGGAGACGAAGGTCCTCCTGGTTTGCCTGGAATTAAAGGTCCACCAGGAGAAGAAGGAGATGTGGGATTGCCTGGAGAAATCGGCGACCCGGGACTGAGAGGTATAAGGGGACAAAGAGGGCCAGCTATGGCAGGATAAAGTTACAGGCAATGGAATTTGTCAAAGATATTGATCTTATTTTGGTTATTTTTATTTGCGCCAACCTATCATTAACATGTTTTCTCCATTATATCATAAAATACATAGACCTGAAATCGTTATCGGTACGTTTATGGAATTTGTTTACAAATATTAGTGTATAAAATATAAGATTTATGAAGCGCTTAATCACCATTACCATATAATGCGAAAACTTTTTGAAAATTGATCAATTTTAAAATTAAACGAGAAATAAAATATTTCTTCTCCATTGTGTATACAGTGCTCTTACCGCCTGGTAGATATTTCAGAAGATTAAAGGCCAGTATATAATTACGACATTTCCAAAATATTTTTCTTCATATTTTGCAATACGAAAAGTTTTAAGAGCCTTATTGTTTTTTATAAAATGCAAGTTATGATGCAATCTGTTTGTTTGTTTACTCGTTAGAATACAATTGTAATGCATATTTCTCCACGATGCAATGACAATTATTTCATTAAATTCAAATTCTCATCCTTATTATGAATAATCTCTCGTTATTTCTAATAATCATCCAACTTTCTCCATCCTAGTTTATTATAATTTTGATCACATTGATCAGACAATCTGAGTTGCTGATGAAATGACCAATGTTTATTATCATTCTTGTGACCAAATAACATTTTTTAACAATTATTCAACAATTTGTCAGTCTGATATAACCTATGTGTTTTTTTATTTCTATCGTTAACTCTTCGAAATTATTGTTGTTGTTTTTATCTTCCTGCAACTCCTGCGTCTCCTTCACATTGCTCTCCTTCCACAACTTTCGGTCCTTGTAAACCTTCTGGTCCTCTGCTGCCTCTCTGATGCAACCCTGGCTTTCCTTGAACTCCTTTTTTTCCAGGTGGACCATTTGGGCCTGGAATTCCTGGATCACCAGAAATCCTTCTCGTCCATATAGTCCTGGAAGTCCTGGTGTTACTTCTAGCAATCATGGACTACAGGACTGAAAATAAAATTTATGCATGCCTATTGCTTTGCAGGTTTTCTTCACTTATAACACTTTTCATTTGCAAGTAACCTGCTACGAAGTTGGACTACGATAATAGTGTTCCGGAATGGATGCAAGATAGCAGAGTCTACAAAAACTTTTCTTGTTATAATTTCAGAAACATAAATATAATAGCAATGTTAACATTGGTCAAAAATACTAATACCGTAACAAATTAGATAGCCTGATAAGATATTGCGCTACTGAAAGACTTTATTGTTATGGGACTAAAGAAAGATTATTACAGAGGTATGGTTAACAATCATTCTTGGTCATCTTATTGTAACGTTGGCAGACTGACCAATGTGGTCGAAATTGGAATAATTGGAGATTGATTACAAATCAGAAAGTAAAAAGTGAGATGATTAATAGAAACGATAAAAAAATTGAATTTAATGAATACATTAAAATCGATCTGTGAACTGACATTGTAATTATAATTGCTCCGTGCGGAAATTGCTTATTATAATTTGATTTCATATTGACTTAATGTGAAGAAAAACTTGCCGAAAACATTGTATTGACATATTAATATTTAATATTTTCCTACCACTCAAAACTGATTCTCTCATTTTACTTCACTCTTTCATTCGTTTTTATCTTGTAACTAAAACTGATTGAACTTCTGCGAATATCTTCCATTTATCTGAATGAGACTTTTTATCATTTAGTGAAATCCTAACAGTGCTTTACACAGTGAAAGAAAAAGAAAATTTCATTTCCTTTTTCATTTAATTTCAAAATCGGTTAATTTTCGAAAAGTTTTCTTTTATCATTATTATTAATGATAATGATAGTGATGATATTAAAGGTCGAAAATTTAATGAAACTTATATAATAAAGCTTCCCATTATTTCCATTGCCTGTTGTTTCTATCTTCCTGCTCCCGCTCCTCCTGGTGGCCCTTTCATTCCTTTCTCTCCTTTTTCACCTTGAGGTCCTTGCACTCCACGATGCCCAGGAATACCTTTTGGTCCTGGAGGTCCTCGGTTTCCAGCATTTCCTACCACTCCTTGAGGTCCTGGCAGTCCTTGAGGTCCTGGCAGTCCTTTATCTCCATCTTTTCCATCCGGTCCTCTCGATCCTGGATGTGGTGGACAACCCTTAAATAAAATTTGCGCATCCTTTGCAGATTGCTTTCAATCATACAGTTTCCGCCGTAAACACAATTTATGAGGGACTTGAAGCAGGAAAACGGTACAGATAACCAATAACAAAGCACTGAGAGGATGCATTGGTACTGGTAATCGAAATTGCTCCAATGCTTGAAACTCCCAAACTTTTTGATCTCTTGAAGTTTTGTACCTTAAATTTTGCAAAAAGTTGTTTAGGATCTTTTTCAAGACCATTCATTAGTAAAAATCTGATATGGATGGAACTTTCCACTGATTTACATCCTTTAATTAATTAAGGAAAGCCGCAATCAAATAATTAAATATTTCAAGAATTGTTTGTGGGTTGGTCATAACAAATACGACGAAATGCATTTCGTCGATTGGTGATATCTATGTAAGCTAAACGAACCTATTTAAGCGATGATTTAAAGTGAACGGATGGGAGATCCGGTTAACTGTTAGAAGATCGAAGATTGGTAGAGAATCCGGAAAGATGGATGTCAAAACATTGTATACCAATTTTGTTGAAAAGAAAGTAGAAAATTAAAGAGTAAGGTAAAACGAGTGAGTCACTATGAAGTGAAAGAAAAATATTAAAGATTAATATGTGATTAAAGTTTTTTGGACAAGTTTTTCTTCAAACTGAGCATATTTAGTGAGCATATAATTTTGAATGAATGATTGGAAGGAAAATGTTCAGACTGATAATCAAAGGAATAATCGAGAGGACAGATATATGACAAAAGTAAAAAATTACTAAAACAAAATTGAAACATTCATAGTTGCTTCTTAACAATTTATTATCACTTATAATGATGACAGTTGTCATTCTAAGTTACATTCTAAGATTATTTCGAGTAAGAAAAGAAACGATTTAAAATTGTAAAATAAATCAATCAATTAAGAAGTAAATCAATAAACTATTCATAGCAATAATATTTGCCATAAAAATGAAATTCTAAATAAAATTTATCAAATTGCTATGAAGCTCCCTTTGATATGAGGATGGGCAATTTGAAATTAAAAATATTTAGAGAAAATTTAAACTTTGAAATAAAAAATTTAGCCGCAAAACTTTGGTGATTTATTACAGTAATTGCCTTAAACCTGTAAATAAATATGATCGAACAGTCAAATAATATGAAAATATGCGAGTCGTAATAAGTTGTTCTTCCATCTATCCTCCAAAATTCTCTATCAGCCTTGATTTTCAATCAGTCGATCGAATCTTCCTTAGTTCGCTTTAAATTATCGATAAAAAGGTCCGTTTAGCTTTTATAGATACCGTCAATAATCGTTTAATGCTGTATTTTGCTGCACTCCATACAACCATTTCACGAAAAATTCATGAAATGTTTTTTTGTTTTATGAATTCCGGAATGATTCATATTAGAAAATATAAATACAAATTTCTCTTCGAAATCTGTTTCACTAATTTCTAATTTTAATCTTTAAATTTTTCTTGCATATTCGACGGTCTAATTTGCAATTAGAATTTGTACATCTAATGAATGGATTGTTGCTATACCTTCACTAATCAAAGGATGTAAATGGAATGAATCTCCCATTCGTTTAAGATTTTTATTAAAGAGTAATCTACTGAAAGAATCAAAGATTAAATGTTTGAAAAATGTGAAAACTTTAAGATTTCAGTATCAATGCATTTTATCAATACTTTCTCATTGGTTATCAGCACTGTATTCATAATCCAAGTAAGCTTCCTAATGAATTGTTATAAACAGAATGATTTGTAGCATTTTTTTGCGAAATATTTCCAAGTTTTATTTTCAGGCATGTGTTCCATCATTAAGAGGACCGCCTCGGCCACCAGGACCGGATGGAAAGGATGGAACAAAGGGAGATCCGGGATTGCAAGGAGAAGTAGGACGTCGAGGACCGGAAGGACCGATTGGACTGAGTGGAGAGGTCGGACCAAAAGAAGCGCCTGGGCTACAAGGGCATCGTGGAGAACTGGGTGAAAAAGGAGACGCGGGACCCAGAGGACCAACGGGAGGGGCAGGATAAAATAACAGGCAATGAATTTGTAGAAGATATCGGAACAGTTCTTTTCAATGATGTCAGTCTCTTATTTTGGTTGTTTTGTCTGCTCCAACCTATCGTTGATGTTTCCTTCACATTTTGTCATGAAATTCGTAAACCTGAAATCATTATCGGTCTTTATAGAATTTGCTTATAAACGTTGGAGCATAAAATTTGAATTTTATAAAGTAAACGCTTTATTATACTTACAAATCACTACTGATTACTGTGAATGGAATTTTATAAACCAATTTTCAAATTTGTTTTCTAATTTGATTGTAGCCGAACACTGAATCTTATGTTTTGTTTTCCCCTTTTCATATCAAGTGCGCCTTTTTATTTTTATTTTTTTCTATTTATTACACTTTTAAATATATTTTTGAATGTTTGGATCTTCATTCGACAGCAAATTTGCGTGGTAAGTCTGTTATAAGCATAATTTACATATTAATTAAACTTTAAATCAATTTACAGTTTGATTTTTACCATACATCAACTTTTTAAGAAAAGTAATAATAGATCAGAAGGAAAAAAAGATTCATAATATGTCAGAATCAGTCAGAATTCATAATATGCAAATCTTTCAGAATGCCAAGAAAGATGTAAAGCAACTCGTCAAATACTTGGATGGTTCTTATACAGTTATATTCACTCCATTTTACCTTTCTCAGTACCGGAATCTGTAATACCGGTTAGAATTAATATGCAATACTTCAATAAGATGAGCGGCGGTGCATGTAGGTATGCTTACACTACAATTCTTCATGAAGATATTTCTTAAAATTAATTGTGAGAAAACGGAATAAGTTAAGCTAAGCATGCCGAATGAATAAACGAATTTGATCGATTTGATCTCCAATCGACGAAAACTTGCCAAATTAAAAGCCAAACATATTTTATCTATATCAGATTGGAATGCTGAATCATCTTTCCCTATTTTTTGGAATTTTCTGAAAAACTTTCTTAGCGTATTATCGTATTAGATAGCTTATATATTTCCGGGATATCATAAACTTTGTTTTGGGCAAAATTCCTTATTCATAGCGTTATTCAGAATACCTCAGGATAGATCTAACATAATTTCCTATTAAATTTAGATAGCTGACAATTACATCGCGCGTATTTATAGGCATATTTATCAATTAAATAGTTGCAGGTAATTCGTTCAATCGGTTAAGTTGAAATTGTAAGTAGCAGTGGTCAAGCTTGAAATTGTAAGCACTCAAAATTCATGTTAATACCATTATATATTTTAAAGCTAGACGGAAAGACATATGTCGAAATCAGCAATTCATTACCAAATGATGCGAAAAAATATGCCAATCATCTGAAAGTACATTTTTAAATTTTCAAAACTTTTAGAACCGATTTTTCTTGGAAATTGTCTCAGTGCACATGATTCTTAGTATAATATTCACAATCTCTCTCCCGGGTTTTCCTGACATATTTTCTTAAATATAGTTATTTTCAGGGTCATAACTTATCCGCTATTTCATGGATTCCACTTTTGAAAAACGTACTTACCCCGTTGGATCACAAAGATTTTTCGATTAATCCAACGGAAACATCGAGTGTATGAAGTTTCATTTTGGTCTTTCCAGATTTAATCTATTAACCTATATTAGGTTTATTAGTTCATATTAATTCTATACTGATAAGCAAATTTTGAGTACCAATGTATATTGAAAAGGTTGAAGAAGCAACTGAAGAATATAAAGCGATAGATAAATTACAACAGTTGAAACAGTGATTCTTTTTTTCATTTTGCTTATTTTTAAATAATTATATGTTAACCATCTAGCAACAATTTTCGTGTTAGTAATAAAAATTGTTCAATTTGTGCACTTTTTTTAGAACAACAAGAATTATGTACCATTTTAAAGATTATTAAGTCTTTAAACTCTCACATATCAGCGGATTTTATATATTCTAATAAATTAATTAAAGTCTATTCCTCATATTTCAAAAATGTTACAACTTTTAAGTAAAATTTTTAGTAGTCTGAAAGAAAAAAATCGAATTGACCATAATATAAATTTAAAATACGGGCAATAATGAATTTCAAGAATCGATCGCAAAGATTACAAACGTAACTCAAAACTTTGAAGGGAAATTAATTCAATTCATTACCGTACGTCGTTTTAGTAAAGGGATACATTTATTAAGAACAACCGTGTGGACTCTTCGGTTTATTAAACTAACCCATAGGAGAGAATTCCTTGGTTGAGATCATTGTCTATTAAAGGAAATTACATGGTCAAAACTATAATGCAGCGAAAGGAATATTGATTAGACGTGTTCAATCGGTAGAATCACAGAAGAGGAAATAAACACATAGAGCCCGTACCGAGATGAAACTAACAACCAAGAAGTCGAATCTATTTTTATCAAATCATAACATCACTAATGAGCTTCTCATTAAACAGCAACATGAATATATCGCGCAGGAATCGCTCACACTTTCTGCGAATTGAGACGAAAATTTTGGATATCGAAAGGAAGATCTGCAGTTAAACGGGTCATATCTTGATATATGAATTGTAGGCATTGGAGAGCTAAATCATTCAAACTACCCACAATGCCAAACCTCCCAAAAACTTGAGTGAAGTGATCAAGAATTTTCGAACAAGTTTGGTTTAGATTATATGGGTCCTCTTTCCATCAAATCTGATATTGAAATAGTTAAAGATGGATAGTTCTTTTCACATATTTTACTACAAGAGCAGTAAATCTTGAATTGGCAGAAAACTTGACCACCGAGAACTTAATGCCTGTCCTAAGAAGATTCATTGCTCGACATGGATATTCGAAGTTTATCTTGAGCAATAATAGCAATCAGTTTTAATTAATCAGCAGCAAAGGAATTGATTGGTACGGAAAAACAACGGTGCACAATGCACCACGGGGTGAAAATGCGAATTATCGGACTTACCAAAAAGGCTCCAAGAAAAGTAATAGGGAGGAAATTTTGAAAAGAATGAAAATTGATAACTTTGATAGCTACTTAATATGCAGGCTTTGGTGAGTTATGTACCAAACTGGTTTCATCTCACCTAACGCCTCATTATATAAACCAACTAATTATGGCAATAAATTTATTGTCATACGACGAATATATTCCTTATTCGAGTTCACAGTAAACGACATTTGTAAATGGAATCCTGATATTCCCTTAATACCTGTCAGGAATGGAATTGTGAGAATGCATCGAGACAGAACTTCACATCAATTAAAATAACGATCTATACAAAGACTCACACAATAATATCCCAATAAAATGCAGTGACATTACTCGTACATCAGGAGATTTTATATATTCTAATCAACTAATTAAAGTGTGTTCCTCATATTTCAAAAATGTCACAATTTTTAAAGTGAAATTTATAAATTCTGATCTAACAGTTATGGCTTTTTATGAAACTGTCTACTATAAATAAGGAAAAGGTTTCGTCTATGAAAGGTTACTATCTTGAAGCGATCTTCTAAAGAGACCTTTATAGATCGTTAAAATTTCTCAAATTTTCTCTTTTTAATCATTTAATCTTTTGAGGTTGTGCAAAACGAAAGAACGCCATAAAAGGTATTCAGATTCTTTTAGATTTTATAGCACACAATTCTTTAGAGCAAATGATAACTGATAAACGAGAGTTTAAATTTCCATTGCTTATAGAACTCAAAAAGTTATAATACTTTTGAAATGCATGGAATAAGTCGTAGTATAAAACTCACTTGAAATATGTGAGAGAGAGTTTTAAGATATAAATTAAAACTTAATAAAGCTAATTTTGACGAAACATTTCCATTTATATTGGGAAAATGGATGTCTGCTATGAATCATTCCAAAATTCATAAAACAACGAAATATTTCAACAATTCTTTGTGGAGTAATCATATCGAATACAGCAAAATGCAACATCAAATGGTTTTAAACGATATCTGTGGGAACTAAACGGATCCTTTTATGCGATGATGTAAAGTGAACGGAAAGAAGAAAAGATTAACGGTTGATACAGAATTTATGAGAATGGATGGAAGAACGTGTTTTGAGCTTTTGAGAAGCAGAAGTGATTTGAGCGTCTGACTGATGTCGGTTATTTCGAGTAGAAAAAGGTAGTAATAGTGGTAAATTAGATTATTCTTTGTCGTCCGGAAGTCAATCTGGTCGTGATAGGAGGCCAGTCATAGTAGAAAATGCAAGTCGGAAGCATCAGCCAATGAAATCGGTTTTGATGGCTGACTGACAACGATAGAAAAGATGCAGAGCACTGTGATAAATAGATTTTTCAGTAGAGGAAATTGTCAGAGATAAAGAGTGCTTCCCATATTTTTCTGATTTGGGTTATTTAGTACTTTGATCATGTTATGAGAACTGTAAGCATGAAATCGTGATCGGTAATGAAAGAGTATTTTCAAAAAAATAATCTTG